TTTGATTTTTCACTCGACGCATTTTCTTATAGTTTCTGTTAGTTGCTGCCGTGGTCTCGGCATCCAGTATTTAGTTCAAAATTCGGCCGTCGTATGTGTTAGACTGCGTAGAATACTGAATGTATGAATGTTTATTCTCACTCCCACACTCCTTTTATACCATTATTATCACATCCTTCGTGATAATCTTCATTCTTCTTTATCTACAAATTTTTGGAGCCCTTCTTCCCTCCAACCGCATCATAGCCCTAAACCGGCCTGACCATCCTTCCATAACATCTCCCCCCCCCCGTAGTAACCATCGTGGTCACTCACCAACGCCTCATTCATTTACAGCCTGTGTACTTTACCCTGAACCCTCCTATAACATTCTGATTCTACCATCCACCGAAATTCAAAACACTTCATTAAAATTTTCACGAAACATTTATCCAGCATTCATTTCCTGTTTCACACTGTATTCCTTCTATCACAACTTCAGGGGCAGCCACCCGTTCTGCTTCGGTGATGCAGTTCTCGCCCCGTTCCTCCACACTGGCAACTTCTTTGCTATTCCATGGAGCTACCAAATATTGGTCGACGGACCAGATCTTGCCAGAGTCCCGACGTCCCTCTCTCATAAGGAGGTGGCGCCCTGAACACCCCCAGCCTCGCCAAGTCGGATAAGGGGTTTCTCCTATTCCACGACCTGGAGTGCGCCGACACCCAACGCGATCCTTTCCGTTCTGTCGGCTGCACTACAGCCAATGCCGGCGAGGTTTGTGGCTGTGGCTGGCACCGTATTTCGTAGGGTGGGTGCCGCCAAACCACCACTGGGACGAGTGCCTGAGACGTGTTACAAACCACTCCTGGCGTGGTTCCTGCCGAGTTCAACGATGCTATAGTTGGGATGTTCATCCCGTCGCTCCACCGGAAAATGAACCTTACTCTCCACCTCATCCCTCACCGGCACCATATCAATGTTTACTACAGGTTTATCCGTCTCGGTCGCTTCCTTTCCACATACTCCTTCATTTTTTCCGTCATCTTCCTTTTACCGGTTGATCTCCTCATTCGCGATGACTGTTCCTGTACTCCCACTTTCTCATGGACAGCACCTGACGCTGTCCTAGCGTCTTTAGCCCTCACTATGCTCTCCTGCGAGCCATCGTTCTCCCAAGAGATAAATTTTCAGTTGGTCAGCATGAGCTAAACTAGTTTCGATACCGTAATGCACCCCTCATGTATTCGAGCCCACGGTTTCCATTATTACACCTGGAATACATTTCTCATGCCGACTTTGGTAAGTGCGCAGGTACACCAGCTGTCCTACCTCAAACTGCCTTACTCTTACTTGTTATCATACTGTTCTTTCATGTTCTGCATAGGAGGCATCACGGGGTTCTTTGGCGCTTTAGGCAGGCCTTGCAGATCTGTTGTTCTCAACGATCGTTCCATTAACATTTCTGCCGGGGACCCTTTCCGTCGTTGGGTGTATTCTAACTCGATATTCGAATAGCAAATCCCTGACTAGCTCTTCACTGCTTTATCAACTTTCCTTCTCTTCTCGCAACCGCTCTTCAAGGTCTGTACAAATCGCTCTGCTTCCATCAGAGTTGTGATGGAGTTGTGATGGATGAAGGTGGAATGAATATCAGTACAATACTCATCCTTATACAATACTATTTTTACTCTTTAACTATGAACTGTGGCTCAGTGAGTATATCATCAAACGAACGGCCCAACGATGCACTTCTGCTACTATCGTGGGTATTCCATTCAGGTCGGAAATACTATCAGTGGTTGATGATCTGTCAGCAAGGTAAACTTGCGGCCATACAGAAATTGGTTGAGTTTTTTCCACACCATACACTATTCCCAACGCTTCCTTCTCTATCTGTGAATAAGTTCCGTTCTTCCCTGGTTAGTGTTCTTGATGCGTATGCTATCACTTTTTCTTTCCTGTCCGTGTATTTATGGTACACGACAGCTCCAAACCCTTCGGAAGCGTCTTTTGCCAGAACAACCGGTATTCGGGCGTCATAGTGTGTCAACACATACGTCTCCCTCAACCGCTGCTCACTTTTTGGGAAACGCCTTCTTGTGCTCCTCTTTCCAACACAAAAGTACTCCCTTTCTCCTAACCCGTTTAAGGCAGCTGCTATCTTAGACAAATTCGGTATAAATTTACCGTAATACTGTACCATTCCTATAAATGATTGTAGTTCCTTCAAATTTTTTGCCTCAGGCATATTAACCATTGCCTGCACCTTTTCTTGTGATGGTCTCACTCCCTGTGCATCCATTACAGTGCGCTTCAAAAGTATGTGGACACCTTAAAATCTACGATAAAGATAACCAAGAACGTCGCGCCATTGATTCGCCTCAATCGATTCCTCGTAGTCGGTAACGCTATCAATGGGTGCAAAGCAGATAATATCGCCTCACTTTCGGAAAAAATTTTTGATGAAATTTTTTTCTTTGTTTCAAAAGTATGTGCACACTTGAAGAAGATCAGATTTTGGCGCCGAATTTTCCACCGATTTCAATCCGACTTTGCTGTTTTCATTTCGTCATCAATGCCTACTATCTTTCCTCTGAACAACAAAGCAGCTCAGATCAGGGTCTCGCATGATTACTGAATGTGTCCCAATCCAGAAATCGCAACGACAATTTGCGTTTCTCTCCATGCCATTCGGAGTTCATTCTGTGCACCTCGTGATAGTTTACTCACGATCAGCACACACTCCGGTTATCCACGATCCTTCATTGCTCAGAACAGCAAAAGAGTAGCGCGCATCCTGCTGAATTCTTCATCGTCTGTTCGAGCTCTGATAGTAATACCAATCTTGGAAAAGATCATTAAAGGAAGTGGTCACGATAATTTTCATGGGAACGATAAGGAAGCTATGTATTGGAGTGGATAGAGGTCCTGCCCAGTGTTACAACACGTGAAGTTTCAGTGGCAGTGGCGCCTTATCAACGGAGTGATAAGGCGCCGAAATCCACTTCCGTTAAGACTTATCGATGTGGAAAGGGGTGCGATAAGAGCGTGCTAGATATGATACCGTTATCGTTATCGTCCCGTTTTCATTCTGGAGTGCACCTCTTATCAAGCAGCCGCACCTTCTTATCTCATCGTATCATATCTTCCATGGGCTTACACTCGTCCAACAATTACTGCAAATCCAGCATGGAAGCCAGCGTGACCGCTTCCTTTAAAGGAACACAGTTACGCTGGCTTCCACGCTGGATTTGCTACCGTCGCGTTATCAATCGATAAGGTGTGAGGCAGTACTTGTTGGACGAGTGTAAGCCCACGGAAGATATAATACGATGAGATAAGAAGGTACATAGCTTCCCTTATCGCTCCCACGAAAATTATCGTGACCACTTCCTTTAAGTGCCTCATCCGCTTAAATGATACACCACTCGACAGATGCTGAGAAAAGCTACTGACTTCAAGGTTCCACACAAGTTAGCAGATTGGAGTTTACTCGTGAAAACATGGCAACATAGAATAGGGCACGTTGTTTCAAGACTATATTCGAAACAAACAACTTTTTCATTGACTTTTCTTCTCAGGTAATCTTAACTCATGGAAAGAGTTCGATCTTGACGGGGTGGATTTTGCTACTGCTGGAGAGGCTTGGCCGTGAGTCGCTCGTGCTCTCGAGAAGGAATTTCGGAAGAGGCCCGTTGATGGGTCTGCGGCGGTTTCGCAAGCAGCGGAAATTTGGAAGTTGCCGTTCCATTATTGCGTATGAACTGTAAAGAATACCAAGCAGTGCTCCAATGTCACCTGTTGCCTTTTCTTAGCGAAGCGGAGCGAAAATTGCATTTTTAGCAACAGGACCACGTGTCTTTCGATGCTTCGCAATCTACCAAAGAATGGCCTTAACCAAATGGTGCTGAAGCGATAGATTGGCTTGTGTGTTCTCCTTGCAACCCTATAGGGAGCCCTTGATCAAGGCGTTAACTTTAGCAACCGGCAGTATAATACCGCGGATGAACTGAAGGCGGCGGTAGAGGCTATTTGGGCCGACAGCGACGAAACAGCTATGCCAAACGTGGTTCAGATTATGCCGGACAGGATGTTTGAGCTAATTAGAAACTCTGGAGGCCCCACTGATTTCTAATCTCAGCTATGTTTTTGTCTTTTGTTAAGTGTGCACATACTTTTGAAACAAAGAAAAATTTCATCCAATTTTTTTTCGAAAGTGAGGCGATATTATCTGCTTTGCTCCATTGATAGGTTATCGACTACGAGAAATCGATTGAGAAGGATTTCATAGCACGAAACCTCATGGTTCCCTTTCAAACGTGAATTTTGAGGGTGTGCACATACTTTTGAAACGCACTGTATATGCCCTAATAACTCCACCTGCTGCTTAAAAAAATCTTTCTAGCGTTGTTAATTGCAAAATTGCCGGAAATTATATCGAATGTTACTCTATTATACACAAACATTTCTTTATGTATATTACTTGTGGTATATATTAGGTTGTCTTTGCGCATTTGGCAACTTTTTTTCAAAATTGTTTTTCTTCTTTAGTGCAGCCAACAATTGTTGAATACATACACCACCATAATCGTCGAAACATTGCTCTTCAGCAGGCAACTTCAGGTTGCCGGCCGTTCAGAAATCCCGAGTCTTTGGGGCGAAAAGCTCAAAGAGGTTGACTCCGAGTAGGTCCGGATCATCGAACTGCCCCTATTTCAGTACCTTCGACGGCAACAGAGGCGTATGGTAGCCCTGTCTCTACCAGGTTTGCTGTACACACTAAGTGGGTCAGATCATTCTATAACGAGCTGGAGACCTTTCCTGAACCTTCTTCGTAATTCGTGGGCGAGCGTTGCCGACATAAAGTAAAGTTTCTCCGATTTTCCGGGCACCATGCCGGGAAACCAATCCACTTGCTAACATTATTGTTCACCAATAGCAGTGGACTTCGTTGGCAGCAGCTCTCCGTGAGCGAAACATTTGCAGCCTCATGAGCTTTCAATGTTGCCTCCCAGGTTACTGTTCTCGAATCGGCGTTGCAATCCTTTGTTCTACGCATCCGAGCCAGTCGTGCTTTCGCGTGCGGTTTATCTGAGGATCCCACTTCTTACAATGACAGGAATCGAACATTGTAAGAACAATCGCTGATAACGGGTCGCCAAGTAATCCAAGTAAGTAATCCCACTTCTTAACACCATCAGCAAAGTTGGCGGATCAAGCGATAGACGGGCGGCAAATCAAAATTCCTTGCAAAATTTAATGGTCTCAATAGCCTGTGGTCAGTCAGATCTCAAAATATCCTTTCGCCATAATTTCACTTCTTTTAGAGGCGATATTGAGGAACGGCCATTGTGGTCTGGTAGCACTGAAAGAGCTCCGCCAATTACCGTGCATTGCACTAAGCACTCTCTCCAATCGAATTCAGAATACACTCGTCAATGAGGGTGGCAGGCCGACCAGATTTGAGTATCTGGAACTCGGCAACCAAATAATTGGCATATTGTGAAAGATAGTCTGGAGGTCCATCACAACACGTAGAATTCCTACTGCTGCTCAGTAGACGCATTTTGTGGGCTTATACTGATGAGTCCATTTTAGAGAAGTCTCGTTACATTCACCATGTGAAATAACTTATCTGATTTGGGTAGCGAGCATTGATTAATATCCAGCAAGCTGTCACCTTATAATTCCCACATAGACTTGTCTTTCCATCAGGCTTGGCCACTATTACTAAAGGTGTGGCCCATTCTGCGTGTTCTACCCTTGTCAGGGTGCCATTCTCTACTAAATCCTTGAGTTTCGCTTCTGCTTGGGGTCTCAACGCTATAGGGACCGGTCGCACCCAACAAAATTTTGGCTTTTCCATTCCTTGCTTGAATTTCAACGAAACTTTCGTTGTCGTACATCGGCCCAGCCCTTCCTGGAACAGTACCCAGTTTTCCTTTAACATATTTTTATTGCCACTCGTAATTGCTCTTAGGGGCGGAAGTGGTGTAGTGGACAAGTGGCGCGCTTACCACGCGAGCGGTCCGGGGATCAAATCCTGGGTCGTGAGTCGCCCGGGCCAACCAAGCCTTCCATCCCTCCGGGGTCGGTTAATTGGTACCAGACTTGTCTGGGAGGATAAAAACACTGACTTGTACATCGGCTGGCCCCCGCAAGTCATTGTATAGGCCACATCGCATTCAAACGCCACTACGAATGTACAAATGGAAGTAGAATGCGTGCCGCATCC